TATATATATAGATATATATATATATATATATATATATATATATGTATACATATATGTATACATATATATATGTATATATATATTGTTTATATGATGTAGCATCAGTTTTCATGATTAAGATTTATTCTCTTTGGAGACATATATAAAAGTTTTTTGCAGCACAAAAGTTTCAATTGTTTGGTGAAGGTACCTCAAGAGCATTCTAACAATATATATATAGATATATATATATATATATATATATATATATATGTATACATATATGTATACATATATATATGTATATATATATTGTTTATATGATGTAGCATCAGTTTTCATGATTAAGATTTATTCTCTTTGGAGACATATATAAAAGTTTTTTGCAGCACAAAAGTTTCAATTGTTTGGTGAAGGTACCTCAAGAGCATTCTAACAATTAGAAAAACATAGCCGAAAAACTCTACTTCAATCTAGCAAGTTTTGCATAATAGTTCAAGGGTAAATTGCACAAAACCCCCTTATATTTGGCCCTTTCTGAGATAGCCCCCTTGCCTTTGAGGGCTTTTCACATAACCCCTGAACTTCTTCTATCCACTAAAACTCCTTAATGGTTTTTCACTTTAACTCCCCAAAGTAACACCATGAAGTCTAACGTGTCAAATGACAAGAACATGACCAAAAAAGAAGAAAATACCCCTGGACACTCAAAAAATCACCCTTTTATTCTTTTTTTTCTCATTATTTTTTTTTCTGAGATAGCCTCCTTATTTTTTTCCCACTTTAACATGGGTTTAGAGAAATAGAACAGGTTCAGTGGGTTATGTTCAAAACCCCTCAAAGTTAAGGGCGTTGTGGACCTAGGAAAATAGTCAATGAGGGTTATATCAGAAACGGTTTAACCTAAGGGGGTTCGTGAAATTTACCCATAAACTCAAAAGTATAGAATCAAGGATAATAGAATAGCAGTAAAACAACTCACTGATTTCAGATTCTTATTGAGTCTCTTCAAGTCTTCAGAAACTACTTCTATCAAAGAAGATACCAAAACTGGGCTACTCGGAGCAGCAATGGAATTCTTCCCAATACCCAGATCAGCTCCCGAACTCTGAACATCAACTGTAAAACACCAACAACCACAATCAAACACAAAATTCAACACTCATAAAATCAAATCAAACAAATGAGTCATCAAAAATATACAGCTTTGCATCATTGAGACCCGGCATCGAGCACCTTCCCTGCGCCGAAACCGCACATTCTTCTGCAGCCCATTACAGCCCCAGTTCCCAGAACACAAGCAAGAAACCAAATCAAACCTTCTGTGCCTCAGATCAACACTTGGGTAACAGCTCAAAGACAGCATCATCCCAATAACCCAATACCCAAAAACCAAGTAAACCTTCTCAAAACAGAAAACCCAGACAGGCAATAGTGATCACAGTTGGTAATCCAATTCAATTATGATTCAGTATGGGGTTAGTTGGGGGGTTGACGGGGGAGAGTTTGAGTTCGGTATTTAAATTAAGCGGGTTTTGCGTTTGATGTGGATGCATGAGGGCCACATAGGACATAGTGAAGGGGGGCCCACTTATCATTTTAGGCAGAGAGGGGAGCATGAGGGGGTGAGAGAAGAGCGCTTAGGAAGAGGGCTCAAGGATTTTATCTTGACACGTGTTGAGTTGGTGTTGGTTGGAAAATGGATTTTAATTTCTATGGTTTCTTGAGAGTTGTAGAGTATTAAAAAGGCTAAATGGCACTTAAACATCCTAATGTTTAACTATCTTTACAACATAAATACCTTAAGTTATAAAAACTAACATAAAAATACCCTAAATTGTCAAAAAGTATCACATTGCTATCTTTAGTTAAATAGATAACATAATGTTCATAGGAATATTCCCATGTGCGTACACAGTAATTTTATTATTGTATTGCCCCAACACCTTATATTCAATCTAAGGAAAAGTGCCTGAAACTATATTATATGCAATTAATTTACTTGATCCACTCCGTTCATTTTAATTTATATGTTTTTGATTGTGTATAAACAATAAATTAGGCATATTGGATTTTAGTTACTCATGCATCGAGTGATTGTAAAATTAACCGTTTGCCAATAATATAACTAGAGAGGCAATGAAAAATGTATTGAAAGTATTGAAACATCATGAATTTTATTTTATAGATATTTAGAGATATTTATAGATGTTTTGAGACATTTTAGATCATGAAGAATGGAGAAGATCATCAATTCGAATAATCTAATCCATGGATCAATAGGCTCTTCCTTAGATTGAATCTAAAGTGTCACCTTAGGAGCACTTTCCCACATACACATATAAATACACACACACACACACACACATATATATATCTATGTGTGTGTATGTGTGTGTATATGTGTATATGTATGTATATGTGTGTGCGTGTGTGTGTCAAGTGTGTGTGTGTGTATACAAACATAAATACACAAATACACACACATGTATATATACAAATATATATTTATACGTATATGTGTGTGTGTATACATTTGTGTGTAAATACATATATAGATATATATATGTATATACATGTGTGTATAAATACATATGTGTATTTGTGTGTGTGTAAAGTAGATTCATTTGAAACTTTATTCGCTAAAATCGCTCCAATTCGAAAATAATTATAAAAGTTGACCCAGTTTCGACCACGTCAATAATGTTGCTAGAAACTGTGTCGATTTTTAAAAAATGTTGTTGTCTAATTAGTTGTGATTGGCAATCCCAACTAATTAGAAGATAGTTTGAAGCAGTTGGGGTCAATGAACTCGACTAATTTGAATGTGCTTCTACTCTAACTAATTTGACAGCAGTTCAAAATAGTCAGGGTCGACAACCCGAACTAATTTGATCCTGCTTGAAAATAGTTTGGTTTGCTAACCCCGACTATTTGTCAAAGACTTTAGTTTTCGCCTTCTTAGAAATGCAAATGTGTCTAAATGTTTATAATGGATGGGGTTGCCAAACCCATCCATTTTATTTTTAGATGGTAGCTCAGAAATTAAAAAAGTAGACAAGTTTGGCAAACATGTCTACTTTTTTCTTATATACAATTGTTCCCATTTCTCCTCTCATTCTCTTCATGACATTCTCTCCCCACTATGGATTGAGCGATGATGGCACGAGGCAAGTACATTTCACATGCGACAAGGAGAGGTAACTATTACTTTGTAGGATGTAGGGATTATACTTGGCCTCAAAGTTAATGAGAGTGTTATTACGGGTATCGATGACTTTAGTTGGTTTGGAATGTGTGAACATTTATTGGGACAAGCTCCTCAAAGGGTGGTAAGATTAAGCTCAAGTTGTTGCGCTAGAACTACATGAATATACCACAAGATGTTATAGATGAGATCATCAAGATATATACTCGAGTGTACATAATGCATATGATCAACACTATTATATTTTCAGATGCAAGTAATGATTTAGCGCATGTTAGAAGTGTGGGCAGTTATTATGAGGGAGTGCAATGCTAGTATATTTTATATAAGCAGCTGACAAAGGTGGCCTTATGCAAAATATGGAATTGAGAGGTTACATCATTCTGTTGAAAATATGGTCATGGAACACTTGAATATCCTCAAACCATATTTGAAGGATACCTGAGTTCTTGATTGTCAAATTCCATTAGAATGTAGGTATATAAGTTTATGATTACATCTAACATTTACTTCAATCTATAATAAACTTTTGTACGTACATCAAATAGATGAAATATCTACAGATATTTTACAACCTCCCCGAAGGGATATGAAAATTTTTACAAGAACAAGCTTGAACAAATGGAGAATGAATAGGTATAAAATCATGAGATCTAACCCTACTCAAGCAAAATATTGAACATACAAAGAATTTTATTGATAAGTACTTTTTTGTACTGTTTTTTATATATTAAATGGATGCCCTACGAAAGAGTTCTTAGTTCACTACTTGATATTTGCAGAGATGGTAAAGGTATATGGATTGCCAGAGTCCTAGTCATATGCTTTGAAATTATGGAGAAGCATATGCCCAATCATTGGATTAAAGTAACATATTCAAGATCCTCTAGAAAGAATAGAACAAAATCCTCGAAAGGAGGATATCATCAAAATTAGGAGATAATTAGTCAATCATACATCGGGATTTAAGGGAGGGTTTTGTAGTGATGGAGAGAGGTGATGCACCAGACCTAGGTGTGCATATACGATGGTATTGGAGGACTACTCACTGATGGATATATCGAGAGAATAATGCATCTTCCGTGTACATGCTAAGGGGTCCAATTGAAGGAGCATTGGTAAGTAGATAAAAAAAAACTAGACATATTTGTGATTATTATTTTTTCGCGATTATATTACTAATCATTTCCTTCTAATTCTTATCTTAGAGGTAGAAGAACTCAATGAGGTAGCTTCTATTCCACATGATGTCTTGAGATCGACTGTTGAGGAAGGGGCAAGGAATGCATGTGTATGCATTATAGGGAAGATTCAGTCCACTTTTAGGAAGATGCATCACGCAGCTCATGATGGACATTCAAAATGAGTTTTAGTGTACAAGCGTTGACAATTTCGAGGAAATACTAGGACAGGCTCAAGTTATGCACACGACGAAGCCAAACATTCACAGTGGGTTTGAGTACAAGAGAATGTCATGCATTCACAACTTTACACACAACTAGATGACAAGATCATCCAAGACTCATGTTGAAGGGGAATAAGGATGGCAGGGGGAGGGAGAGCAAAGAGAGGAGTCCTTACTATTTGCTAAACTAAGTTGATGTATGTTTATTTCGGTTTGCGTGTGATACAACTATATCATGATATGCTTAGAGAGCTTGTTTTTGGGGGGATTGTAATGCTTCATTTCCCAAAAAATAATTTGCAGGTTCTTAAAAAGGCACACATAATGAATTTTAGTTCTTTGCTTTCCTTATCAATATCAATTGATGAATTTTTCATTAAGTAGGGTTTGTTTCATCATGTGTGGTTGTATGAGGTGATTTATTGTGTTTATGATTGAAATTTATTTTGAACTAAATGGGATGTAGAAGAGAAATTGTTAAAAAAATAGGAATATGCTATGTGTAATATGGATGGGGTTGGCAACCCCTTCCATTGGATACACTTAGCCACAATTATGAATTCTTGGGGTAAAATATCTGCTAAATAGTCATGGTTGGCAACTCAGACGATTCTGAAACAGGTTCAAATTAGTAGGGGTCATAGACTCAGACTATTTTAAACTGCTACTTAGTTAGTCGGGGTTAGCAACCCCAACTAATTAGAAGCTTGTTCAAATTAGTCGGGGTCGGTGACACCTACTAATTTGAATTGGCTTCTAATTAGTTAGGGTTGCCGACGCTAACTAATTAGAAGGCAGCCTTTTTTAATTGTCTCTTTTCTGGGTCAATTTTTATAAATAAGTTCACAATTGATCGATTTTGGAGAATAAAGCTGTAAATAGTTCTATTTTAAAACCTTTTCCATATATAAAAGATATATAACGTGGCGAATTTTCAAACAAGAAATGAATTTGATTATTGTAAGATGTGTTTTTTTCATATCATACATTAAATTTTCTTCCTGTATTTGTACTCTACAAATATTTACAATTTGCAAAGTATTTTAATTTTTTTCTTAATTTGAAAAAGATATATGGCATGGAATTTTGGAGCATGTAATGACTTTGATTCTATTATAGATACAAATATAATTATATTTTAGGAAAATTACTTTCAAGCTCCCTTCTAAAAAGCCTCATACATGCTGTAAAACCTCAAAAATTTGAATATTATGTAAAATAATAATAAATATGTTATATGGTGAAAATATAACATATTTTGATGTTTGAGTATGATAGAAATTTATTTGAGATTAATTTAATGTATATTTGTGAATATATGAGTGCAAATGCACAAAACATGCACGAAGAGAAATCAGGAAAAATGACTAGTTAAGAGTTTATATATTTTACATACCGGTGTAGTTTGAATCTGGAAAAACTCAAAAGACCAACGTTGTAGGTCTCTTCAACAGATTTCCAAAAAAATCTTAAATCACCTTATTTTGAGGTCGAATGAGAAAGTTACAGTCAAAATACTGAAGGTTATTTTCCTAGTCAGACTAGGTTTCCTGGTTAGGGTCAAACGGGTTTATTTCGGTGTTTGCCCATATTATATTATATTATATAGGTATATATATATATAATTTTTTCATGAAAATTATCACTCTTTTCATCAGAGTTTTTAAACCTTACAGCCCCTCTTCCTTTATCTCTCAAACCTAGCCCTAAGGGTTAAGATTTTGGACGCGTCTTGTGCAGGCGAGAAGAGAGGAAAATATGAGATCTACGACGTTTGGCGATGAGGAATCGTTTCACATTAGTTTCAGAGGCTTGCACATGTGATAAGGCAAGATCATCTGCATCCAAACCCATCCCTATAGTATTTAATGATTATAAAAGTGTTTAATCAATGTTTTCATGCTTAAGGCTTAACCTAATATGAAA